TTTCCAAATGTTTGATTCAATTATACATCTTATTTGTATTTACTAATTAGGTAAAAAGTCCGATAATTATTTTTCTCTAAATTAAAAATATATTATAAATGTTGTGGGTATGTACCTTCTATTTAGTATTTAATAATATGTATACCTATGTACTAAACTAATAACGCTAGTATAGCTGTAATACGCCTCCCCCTCCCCACCGGTACAAAAAACAAGGACTTTTTGGGAACTGTTTATCAAGCTGCTTGCAAATAGCATCCTGTACAAARAGGTATTGTTGGGGCCGAGAAAATTAAAATAAAATTATCGCTACTGGTACGAAAATAAGCAAGAGATAAGACTACGTCTCTCTCTGCGTTATAATTTAGTAGTAGCGTGATAGCATTATAGCAACAGACAGTATACAAACGTTCCAGCGCGTTACATTGCTACTGCTTACTATATTCAAATAAACAAAATTATAATAATTACACCAAAGTATGGATTATGTAATTTATTAAATATTCATTTCAGCCCCATCAGGTGTATAATACTAATTAACAACCGGGTCTTTCTTGAACACGTCTGAATTGCGTTCCCATTATCTGTGATATCTAAGATGCTTAAAGGTGAAAATATTGGTTATTAATTATTATCAATTATTTTAGTATTTTAGTATTTTTGATTTAATAAAAACGATTACGTTAATGTTAAATTTTTGATAAGTTTCTAGTTAGTTTAGTTATCTTCTGTACAGACAAATACAATTATTTTCGCTGGCTCACGCCGCAGTTTTAACTGTTCCTTACTCTACATGTATAAAATAACGTAGCATTCACTTAAACAAACATCCTTTCTCGATAGATAATAAAGAAAATATTTAAAACAAGCAGATTTTCTATCGAAATAATTTAGAAGATTTTAATTCATAAAAAAAAGTTCATCTCCTCCCATCTCTCTTACGAAATTCACACCTATACTCTTCACGATCTAAAATCCGTCATCGACAARCACATTTTAACYCAATGGCAAMTCTCGTGGTCAWCACTTCATACCAAGCTAAATAAAATAAAATCTACAGTTTCTCCATGGCCATTCTTCTCATTACCAAGACGCCAGGAAGTAATTTTAAACAGATTACGGATAG